CCCGGCCGCGAGCCAGGGGCTGGTCTAGCCCCGAGGCTGACTCGGGGGATGACAGACGGAGCGTTCGGAGCATTCGGAGCGCACGGAGCGCAGCCCCCCTGGGCGCCACTGACCACCACCCTGGCAGCCTCCGTCGCTCCGCGTCTGCCCTTGACTTCTCCCAGCGCTCCAGGCGGCGCCGCAGCAGCTCCAGCTCCTCTGAGGAAGAGGAAGAGCAGAAGAAGAAGAGTGCCAAGAAACACACCAAGAAAGCCAAGAAGAAATCCAAAAAGAAGAAAAAGAAGCAGCAGTCATCATCCGACTCAGATTCCTCCTCTGATTCTTCCTCCGATTCCTCCTCTGGTTCCACTGGCTCCTACCGCAGCACTTCCAGTGTCAAGAAGGGCCCGCGGGGGGTGGGGGGTGAGGAGCCGGGACGCCCTGGCCGGGGAAAGAAGGAGGAGAAGAAGCAGAAGAAGCAGGTTGACAGTCTGATGATGAAGTACCTGTACCGGCCCGAGAGCAACTGAGGCAGGAGGTGGGAGGCAGTGTGTGCTGTGCAGCATGAACTTCCCCGTGTGCCACTAACAGCTCGTCCTAACCCTCGCCCGGCTCTGGGGCATGGAACCCACCTTCTTCAGGCACCCTGGGCTGGAGCACCCAGCTGTGCCCGCAGCTAGCCCTGCTTTTGGGATGCTGCAGGGCATCCCTGACATGTCTCTGGCCATGGGGAGCATCCCCAGCATGGCTGCAGAGGGACTAGCAGCTGATCGTGCTGCCACAAGGAACTAATCCCTTCCCAGCTCCCTGACCAGGACGTGGCTGAATTTATTCCTTTAGGAAATGTAAGGGTTTGCTGGAGAACCTACACTTGCCCCACGGACGACAGTGGGTCCTGGAGTGTGATGGGTACTAACACGCACCTGTTGCCGTGTGTGAGCGCGGGGCTGGAGCCGGGGTGGGCAGCTCGGAGGTGTTTTTCCAGGTGGCTGCATCCTGCTGCCCTGCACCTTGTAGGGGGGTCGGGAGGGTGGTGGACAGCCTCACCTGGCAGGGCTCTGGGGCTCTGCACCCTGTTTAATGGCAGAGGAGCAGGTGTGCTGGGCTTGTTGGCAGTGAGTTGAGACCAGGTTTGGTCTTTGTAAGAGCTTGAATGGGAGAAGGGCTGGAGGAGGGAAAAAGCCTTTTGGAAAGGTGGTGGCAGTTGGGGTGCCAGTGCCTGCCAGGCTGTGGGTCCTGGGGCCAGGAAAGGCATCACAGGTTGACAGAGGGGAAGAAACACACCCCAGCACCCAACCATGGGCTTCAGGTGGTTGGGGTGGAGCATGTCCCAGATATCTCAGAAATACTAAACAGAGTGGTGATCGAGGCTCCATCCAGCTCCTGGTGCAGCCAGAGGGGGGTTGTGCCCGGCTGCTGAGCTCTGCTGGGGCATGAAGCCCCCCCAATTCCCCACTAACCCTGCTCTCTCCCACACAGC